ACAGGGCTTCATAACAATAATGCCCTCTGAGAAAGACCAAGAGACTGATTGATTTGTCTTAATAATGCTGATTTATCTAAGTAACCTCATTGGTCGCTCTATGACAGCTCTATGCTTTGAGAGAAAGAAAGACTTTGATGTTGGGCACCAAAGAATTTTTGGAGAATCAGTTCTTGTAAAAATGAAAGCAGCTAAATTGGGTTATCAAACTCACCTTGAAGGTCTTTGTGAGGATAATTTAATATCGCAGTTTCATCTCTAGGTTGGGTGCAAATTAGCCTTTCCGGCTGAGGGACTGCTTTAATCAAACTTAATTTAGAAGGAGCAGCATGTCAGAGGGAGCACAATTCGGAATGAGGTAATTAGAAAAAAAAGGTGATTTTGTGCCAAAAGCCATTTTCTAGTTAAAACCCACAGGAGTTGGAGCACAGACCGAGTGACACATTATCAGCATAGCTCTTGGGGAGGTAATGTTGGTCTGGCGGACTGTTGGTCCGTCCACAACTTTGGTTCAGACTTAAATATCTCTGAAACTGTAACGCTGGATTGAATAAAAATTTGGTACAGATATTCATTGTGCGGCACGGTGGTGCAGCAGTTAGCACTGTCACCTAACAGCAAGAGGGTTCCTGGCTAAATCCCAGGAGGGAGCCCTTCTGCGCGGAGTTTGCATGTTCTCCCCATGGTTTTTCTGTGGGTACTCCAGTTTCCTCCCTCAGTCTAAAGACATGCAGGTTAATTGGTGACTCTAAATTGTCCGTAGGTGTGAATGTGAGCGTGAATGATTGTCTGTCACTATGTCTTGGCCCTGCGATAGTCTGGCGACCTGTCCAGGCTTCCTCTCGCCCAATGTCACCTGGGATAGGCTCCAGCCCCTCTTCGACCCTCAAGAGGATAAGCAGTTCCAAAAATGGATGGATGTTCATTGTACCCAGACAATAGATGCCACCATGAGGTTCACATTTTTGGTTTTGAGTGAAATGTCTCGACAACTATTGGATGTATTGGTGTAACATTTGGTAGAGACATGCATGTTTCACCTATTTCCAGTATTGTAATTTTATGACCAAAAAACCTGCAAAAGCACAAGACATTCCCATCAGCCTCTGCTGTACTTTGTGTTCAATGCCAATTAAACTCAGATGGTACACATGGTAGACATTATAGGCCACCTGCTAAATGTCATTCTGTTAGCATGCTGACATTAAAAACACTTAGCTAAAAGAGAGGTACAGCTAGCTGCTAAATTACAGCTATCTACACAGTTGTATGTATACAGTACGTATACAGTATGTAACACTTGTACTTCATCTCATACAGCATAAAAGCTGCAAATCAATCAGTGTGCTCCACTCCCCTTTTCCTCTCAGAAGTGTGCTGCTAATTGTACTGTCAATCAACTTAGGACATTGACTGAACACTGAACATGTTGGCCAGTATCGCTGCAACCTACTCTTTGTGCCAAAGTCAGTCAGTGGCCAAAGCTGTGACTGCTCTAATAAGTGCAAATAGAAACCTTGAAACAAATTCTTAAAAGGGAAAGAACACTCATGCTCTTGAAAGCAAGAAAACAGAAATGAAAGACAAAATAAATGTGTGAAAAACGGGAAAATGTTAAATAATCTGATAAAGGGGATTCCAAGGCCTTTCAAAAACAATCCTGGTTAAGACTGCCATCTAGTGTCCACTTGCAAAGCTACATGCAATTGCAAGTAACTCAACACAGCCAGGCTTGTTTATGATGGAACTACTGGAGAACTGGAGTCCTTGACATGAGCAATCAGAACAAAACATTACTTAAATTCTACCCTATTGAGTGGAGTGAGAATTTAATTAAATTTGCTTTTGGAAAAAGCAAAGAGGTCAGAAAAGGTTGATCAGATAGTAGGTGTATTATTGAGAAGTTAGCAGAAGGTGGAGAATGGAAAATGCCACCATACACTGGCTAATAATTTGCAGATCAACCGCAGACTATCAGCACGAACCCAGAAGCTGATCCATTGCAGACTTGCGGTCCATCACCCTCCCTGTCATCTACGGTATGATGGCCTGAGCTAACCATTTTGACTGTGGGATTCTGGAAAGCCGGGGTATGCCCCGAGAAAACAGCATGCTACTGCTTTACAGGCACATCCACCATAATTTACTCCAGAAGAGAGAGAGATGTGTGGTCTGGGAACACCAGGCCACTAAGGCAGTTTCTGGTGCAGCTGAAAAAGACAGCCTCCAGACAGAAAGCTACAGTGCAGACTTTACTGCCTTACATTAAGCTATGCTGTTTATTGTTAGACCTCAGTTTCTGAATCACTGAGCAGGCAGTTTCAAGCCAAGCTGATCTGTTTTCCCATTAGTCTATTCTAGATGACTACAACAGAAAGAGGAATTGTCAGGTGCAATGCTGAGAGGAAGTTAAAAGCCCGTACAGGTAGATACTTTCTATAATAGTAGATATACTGTGTAGCTCCACAAGCCTGCGTCTGTGGACATAATATTATTTGAAATCCTGCTTCAGGGTGATACAGTATGTCCCTCTCATCAGCACAGCACGTTTTCTTTCTTCTTGAAGTGGTATTTCTGTGTGTTTTAAAGGAGGAGGAACAGGTTATATGATTTTTCATAAAAGTATTTGTATTACCCCTTGTAGAAAACAGAGTGTGAGTAAAATTAAACATTCAGTAGGGAGGCAGTTACACCTAAAAATGCAATAACTTATGCAACAAATGTAACAAAGCAAATATAAATCAAATATTGCCTGATTTGCCATCAGGTATGCTCACAATGTTATTTAAAACACTGAGTAAAGCAGTTTCACATGCTCAGCTCATCACAGACAGGCCGCTAGCACAGCACCTGGTAATGTGTGCTCACCTTTTTTATCTGATAACATGTTCGGGAGATTTTTACTAGGAGCCAAATTATCTGCTTAGGTCTCTTCCTCTTCGAGACAAACATACCTGGTGATTTAGACCGTTAAAAACACTGAATAAAGAAGTTTTGCATTAACGTTTTTCTGACACTGTTTGGCTGTGTGGAGGGGCTGCTAACTTCTGTGGCCAACATGAAAACGCAATGGCCCTATCTAAAGTCCAGTGCTTGGTTTGTCTGTTCTAGGCTACTGTGAAACATGGTGGTGCCACATGGTGGACTCTGTAGACAACAACCCATTATGGATGTATTTAGAGACCTAGATACAGCATTGGCAACAGGGCCCCAGTCGTTCCCATGAAAGTTGCACAGTAGTGCATGACGGCAATAAAGCAGATGATCAGCGCTGCTTCCTTGTAATTGCGCCCATACAGCAGGCGTACTAGAGACTTAGGGCCGCCAAGCATGGCCGCTTAGTGCTCACCTACCTTGAATAGGGATAAAATAATTTAATCTTATGGCTCTTTTAGACTTCTGAAATGTTATTAGACCAGCAGATTAAATGTTAATAGAAAAACAAGTCATTTTGTGGGGGCTGTGACATTAAAAAAATGTATCCACTGATTTATAGATCAGTGGTTCCCAACTGGTCCAAGCAGGGGGCCCGATCTCTCCGTAGTCATTAGCTCAACGTCCACAGAGTTGAATATATTCAGTGTCATACTTGTGTTTGGCCACGTCTCAAATGTGTTTGCTGTCTCTGTTAAGTAGCTGTCCCTTATTCACTCAGTCTACAGCAGGAAACGGCACTTCAGAATAAAAGCTCTGTGCTGGAAATTCAGTGTACTTGAAAATAAAATGTGTTTTTTTGCAAAGCTGATATGTTTGCAAGTCACTTGCGGTCCATTCAGAATGGACCCGCGACCCACTTTTGGACCCTGACCCACCAGTTGGGAACCACTGTTATAGATGTCACTTTTCCAATGTCAGTCTATGGGAAAATGTCTTTTGGGCCCAATGGCATCATGTGACAGACCCCAGAAATGTCTGTTCTTCTGTTTGGACACTACGAAAGTTGGCTTCAAAGCTTGGCACACTTCCTTGTGGCCAGGGCCCTATAACAATTGATTATACACTAAAGAAAACATACTTAAGATAAGATACACCTTTATTGATCCCATAATTGAGAAATTCCAGTTCCAATTTACACTTATTATGTAATATTCCATTTATGCCACTAAAGTCAATGCCATTTTGACTAAATCTTACACACTGAACCTTTAAAGGGTAAGTCCAACCTATATCAGAGGTCACTGGCTTTTATTCCTTGATTTTCACAAAGAGAGATGTATTTTCATGATGAAGGTCGAGAGACAAATCAAAAAACAGCAACCACTAGGACAAAATGGCAGCACCTGGACTCTATCCTTTTTTACTGTTATTATGCAACAGCTGTAAGCACAATATTAAAATAAAACTCCTCTAAACGTAATTAGGCTAGCAGTCAGATACTCCTTTCCACAGACAAACTCACTTATTAAGGATACTGGGTGTGTTTGTTGACATTGTCCAAAATAGTTACATGGTTAAAAGTTATTGTTTGCTGTAGTCTCTTATTTATAACTGCGGCAAACAACAATAGCCGTGTTACATTAGCAGCTGTAGATTCATTATGCCAATTTACTCCTTTATGTCATTTAACGTGGCTCACTCATTGGTGCAGATTATCGCTGCAGAGTGTGGGCGGGGTTGGCTGTGCTCATACCAAACGCACAGTTGCAATGTGAGCGGTGTGGCCCCTGCGTTAAATCGAGCACACCTAATTCGAGCCAGACCTCGCCGTGCGGCATGTGTTCATCCGGGTACTTGTGGGTGTACCACGTAACACAATCCAGAGCCTCCGATTAGCTGCGTTTATTTTACACATTAAGGGCTTGTTTTTGACTTCTGCTCCCCAAAAGTGAATCCTGAGGCAAAATATTAAGAGGATACTTGTGAATATCGACATTTTGTTGATTAGAAGCAGCCGTAGAGGGCGTGTTTGAAGTGGAAGGAAAGCACATTATGGGAACGTGACGCAGAAACAGTTGTATAACGGTTGATTCTGACCAATCAGAGCGCTGCATTTCTCCCTGCGTATCTCAGGTGGGTGGGGATGTCACTGAAATGAGGTCTTGTGTGTCAGACATACAATCCGTGGTGTCAGGCAGATTTACGAGTTGTTACGGTTTATTCGCGTTATTTACCGTGCTATTGAGGTTGTAGCTCGAGTTAACTTTGTGTAGACTAACGTTACATTGCGGCAAAACCCGGAAGTATTCGCTCGTTTGTACTTTTTACGAGCTTGTGTTACATGAGCGTCACCCGCGCCTCGTGCGATAGCTAACAAAAATAAAAACAACTGAAATATCTCTTCTGGACGAAAACGCGTATCTTCGGAAGTTATTGTTGGGAGATGTGCTCACTTCATCGTTGCTACTAGCGAAAACAAGAGTTGTTTATCGTGTTTATCGCGTCTGCTGTGGGTACCTGCTGTCACACATGCAGCCACCGCTGGTCAGGAGACTCAACTCTGGGGATAAATTCATGGAGCAAGGTTAAGACTGGACAAACCCTTAACACAACTCTATCAACCACTGCCAAAGTTAAAAGGCTATTTCTTCCTCAGACGTGAGTGGACACTTGATTGTTTTGCTACAAAAACAACGTAAGAGGGTGTGTTTTTGTTGTTTTTTTGGGGACCCCCATCCCCTCTTTCTAACCCCACCGGGGATTCATAAAGGAGGCAGGCGACATGGTGGTCAACACCATCCACTGGTTCAGGAAGGGGCTGCGGCTGCACGACAACCCGTCTCTAAGGGACTCTATCCGGGATGCGGACACACTGCGCTGCGTTTACATCCTGGACCCTTGGTTCGCAGGGTCCTCCAATGTGGGCATCAACAGGTGGAGGTAAGGGCTGTTACAGGGATTGTAAAAAGAAATGAATGCCAGAGGGAGTGATAGGTGGGTGGAGGGTTTAACAGATTATGTATCATTACTGCACCTCAACCCCAGCCAAATTAAACTCTTACTGCTTATCCATCTGAAGATCCCCCACTTACACTGACTTAACTACCTCCCAAATGTCCAAATGGGCCATATGTTTCCAGTTCTGGTTCAATCCTGTGCAATACGTTTGTACATTCCTCGTAAATACTGTGCAATCAGGAATTAATGGGTGCAGGGGACACGTGACCCCCCCCCCCAAAATTTCGAAAAACAAACATATTTCCATCATACATTTATGCAAATAAGGCACAGATTCATGCTGAATGTTCAACAGAATACAAGAAATAAAGTGTTTGACACTCAAAATTTCCCTTTGCAGGACCCCTAACCCCCCATTTCACATGTTTCCCCTCAATTTTGAAACCAAGCCTACTCCCCTGTAGCCTGTATCTAACTGAAAACACTTGATCAATCTAATTAGGCCCCTGTAACAGACGACATACTCCATGGTTGCCTCCAAATCATGTTGTGTTGGTCATAAAGATGCACATTATCTATTTCATCCTTAATACATGATTGCACTGGTTTAGTGACCATCACTCTATCACTACTTGTTATGTCGCATTTTAACTTAATCTAAATCCACATATAGGATGTAACTGTCACTTGATAAATTGGATAGCTCTACAATGAATAGTAGGCTAATAGACTTCAGATATAGACTGTGTTTTATCAAGTGTATTCTTGGGATATTGTCATGTGGAAGTTTCAGTGGTCAGTCACTTGCCCCTGAGTTGCATGTAGAATCAAAAAAATAGTTGTAGTAGTAGTTGATGAGGTCGGTGTATTACTAGGTCGATAACTAGTAGGTTACTGAGGAGGAGGTAGGTACACTCTGCTCTTTATTCCAACAGCTTTTTGGCTGATAGTGGGGTATACTGTAAACAGCCAGAAAAAAGAGATGGGTATGCCCCATTTTCCTTCATATACCCTCTACTATGCCAGTGGTAGTCCTGCTTAATAGGAGCTGTAACCTTAACTAACCTTGCATACGGTTTACTGAATGAAACCTGTGGTAACATCAAACCTATAGACATTCAGAAATCAGTAATTTGAAGTCCTCGTGATTTTGAATAGGACCAGGTAGGTATCTATGTAATGCACCTTTGGACTTTGTTTAGTGTTACTGCCAAGATGCCAATGTACACATATGCATAATGTGTGTCAGGAAGGTCAGTTTGGCCGCCATTCAACATCAGCAAACCACTAAGTGCCCATTCATATAAATCACTGTCAGTTCTGATGGCTTATAATTTCTCAAGATATTTGTTTGCTGTCTTATGCGATATCAAAGCTGTTCTTTTTTATAGCAGACATGTCAGGCCTGCCTTTCTACTCAGCTGTATGAGTGGGTTGTATCACAAGAAAAACTGGCAGCGACTCATAGACTCGATCAGTATACATTCTGTTGTCTGCAGCTGTATTGTAATCATCAGTGATATTGACCTGAGCCAGTTCTAGGTCATTGTGGGTAATGGTAAAAACAAGTATGAATACCTTGTTTGTTTGTTTGTTTTGGCTTTGCACTGAGAAATACAAGATGTTAAATGTTGACTTGGAGTGTTTTACAAATAGCCACTCTTGCATTTACATACAGTGAATTTGGTAGTTAAGGGCAGGTTGAGTTTTGCAAGTATTGTGATGATTGAGAGTCCACAGAGCTTCATCAGTCTCTCTTTGTTTCTTTGTCATGACTGTATCAGTTAGCCATCTAGTAGCTTTGGAACTTGCTGTAGACAAGGACGTAATCCTGCTTAAATACAATTAATAGAAATGATAAACATACAATATAAAGAGATATATAATATTTCCCTGAATCTCTTTTCATGTTCAGATGGCACATTATATCAGTGGTCTCATATTGTACCACTGTACAGTTACTGAAGTATCTTCATGAATTCAGTGGACAGCAGTCCATAATGTTCTTTATTTGGGTGGAAATAACTTTGACCTTCATGTTGTGAGAGGACGTAAAGGCTCCAGACAGTAAGCCTGCCTTACCACGATGACATTACATTTTTTTCCCGCTTACTAGCTCTGCTGCTCAGACCTGAACGGAGGGCTGAGAAATTGGGTCAGTGTGTTGTTACGGTCATTACATCATGCACCCGCACTGGTTTGACCTACATTCAACACACACACACACACACACACTTACCAGACTTCCCACTCCACCCATCTTTTTAGTCAAATACACCACCTCATTTACCATGTGCAAACTTTTGCTCGATTATTACACGTCCATATTGTTCATGTTTTTTGAACATTAAAATGGGCTGTCAGACAGCTTTTTCAAAGTTTACTGGTGGTCAGAATAAGTGCTTAGTTTCTGTATACAACAGCACCACTTCGCTCTGTCTGAATCAGTTTACCTTTGTATGGCAGTGCTCTCTCAGTTGTAATGCGTAGACATACCTAAGCATCGTAAACTGGTCAGTGCATTGAAATTACTGCTGCTGTTGCCGTGTATTAATGTAGATGGGCACGCAGAGTGTTAGTGTGGAATAATTGAATCATTCATTTGTAATAACAAATGTTAAATAAAACCCAGGACAGGAAAATGGTAGTTTTACAGTTTATCCAATCTTCAGATGGAGAGTCTTTTGATCAGTATTTATGTTTATTACACAAGAGACTCTGTTCCTTTTACAATACTATTGGTTACACCACATTTTTAATAAACAGAAGCCTTTTGTTCATCCGAGGCTTGAAGTTGAATCAGAGACCCAAAAAAAAACTAAATCAAAAGGCAGAGCTTCATTAAAAAAATCCATGGTTTCTATGTATTTTGAAACGATTCTTGATACTCATCTGTTTCAAAAAATGAAGACAAAGTGGTCCATTGATCCAATAATAATAATAAATCCATTATTAATGACAAGGCAAATAAAGCAGCATAAAATTAGTCAAGTGGCATAGAGCGTTAATAAAAGAGCTTTTCACACTTTCACAAAATCTGTGTAAAACATGCTTTGCCTGTTCTGGTTTGTTGTGGTTATAAAACATAGATCATATACATGAAAGCACTTTTATGTTTTCTGCCTGTCACTGTAATAAATGTCATAAAGTCCTCTTACCCATAGATGGCACATTGTCCGTTGTGTTAAAACTAGTTGTCTGTGTGCTGCTGTTTATGGTAACATTGTGTAAGAGGTCTATGGTCAACAGTGTGTGTAAAAAGATTTCACCAGGAGAGGGCAGCCTGTTCACACTAAAACACTTGAATCTAAGCATTTTCATGAACTCTTCACACTTTTGGTATTCTTATGTTGATGCTAGTGGATGGCTGTTCATATTAGTGATTGGAAAATATGTAAGCATCAGTTTAATAATCCAGAGTATATTCAGTTGAAGTTAAATTAGTTGTACGCTCAGTGATTTATTCTAAAGTTCTTTAACACAACTCAGTGTATTACAGTTTGAGTTTTATGACCTTTGGCAGCTGAACCTTAAAATTATGTCTTTTAATGTTATATTTTGATCTAAAAAATAACCAAAGCGATTCTTTCTCTAAATACTGTGTTGTCAAAATAACTAACAATAATGATTGTTGCCTCCAGTATTGCTGGTGGTAGTTAACTTTGTTATTCTCAAAAGTTGGGATTAATTCAGTTGCTTTGGGTAATGCAGTGTTTTAGCTTCACAGGACGGCCGACATGGTCATAAACTATAAGTCTCATTGTTCTAGCTTTCTGTATTTACAGATGTATGGCTGAATTAATTTAAACTGCCACGCATGCGAAGCAACAGTCTGAGGCACTTAGTCTTAAAGAAGCAACAGTTGAATAACCAATCTTAATCTTTAAGTACAATCAGGGGGCCACACAGCCATTGCTGTGCCATTGGGATGTTACCTGTGTGACACCCACTTTTCCCCCCAGTAGTCCGTTCAGATCCTCAGTTCAGCTCATTATTGCATTTTGTGTGAGGGTGATATCTGGTGGGAACTCATCTCAGCCATATAATCACTTAATTGATCCCTCTGTCTGTTTGATTCCAGGTTTTTGTTGCAGTGCTTAGAGGACTTGGATGCCAGCCTGCGCAAACTCAACTCCCGCTTGTTTGTCATCAGAGGCCAGCCCACAGATGTCTTCCCTCGGATTTTTAAGGTATGAGTGATGGGATAGAGTGGAAGATGTAGTTATATACTTAGCTTTGTTCTGAAACAACCTGTACCTTTAAATTATTTTATAGCTTATTGAACAGAGGCTGAAAAAAAGCAATGCAGGATTTTGATACTTCAGTGAACTTATGCAGTGACCGTCCAAATTGATTCCATAGAAGTTTAATATGTCTAAGATACTTACACATCATGGTCTCTGCCACTCTGTCAGTCCATCTTTTACATGCATCCCCTCACAGACTAAAACTGTGTGTATGTGTTGTTCCTCAGGAATGGCAGATCAACTGTTTATCTTATGAGTATGACTCTGAGCCGTTTGGCAAAGAACGTGATGCTGCCATCCAAAAACTAGCCTGCGAGGCTGGGGTAGAGGTCATGGTGCGGACTGCACACACCCTCTACAATCTGGACAAGTGAGTGACTCTGCAGTATTAATTCAAGCAGATCCCCTAATAATAAACCTGTTTGAAGCAATGTGAATTGTCACTGTCTGCTTTGTGATTGTGTGAAGGCTCGTGTTGATTCCTTTTTCCATTTTTCTTTTCTAAAGGATCATAGAGCTCAATGATGGTCAGTCTCCTCTCACGTACAAGCGCTTCCAGGCCCTCATCAACCGTATGGATGCTGTGGAGATGCCTGCAGAGACCATCACTCTGGACGTTCTCAGAACATGTGCCACACCCATCAGTGATGACCATGATGACAAGTTTGGGGTGCCCTCCCTGGAGGAGCTTGGTAAGTTTTTCTTCACTTGTAAGTTTGTTGTGTGCATGAATGCACTGTTCATGGTATATGGACACACATGCTATCCAGCATATATCTCAGCGTCACAGACTATACTTGTATATTTTTCTCTTTCAGGTTTTGAGACGGAGGGCCTGACCACAGCAGTGTGGCCAGGTGGAGAAACAGAAGCCCTCATGAGGCTAGAGCGACATCTGGAGAGGAAGGTAAAAAGACATTTTATAACACAATATATGCGCGAAATAATTACGGTTTTCATTAACTGTTGTCTTAACCTGATTGATCGCTCACCTAGCTGAAGTCATAACAAATATATAAACACTTAACTGAGTCACATTCAATAACATGCAGTATAAAGTTATGTTCTCCACTTCCTGAAGGTCACATGCATACCGCTGATGACAGAGATGTCAAAGAAAGCCTGACACATTATTAATCAGCATCTGGACTTTACACATCAAAATATGTATATATAGTACATTTTGCAATAGATAGTAAAAGCTCTGAAAAAAATCATTCTTTGGTGTGTTGGCTTATCTCCATTTTTAAAAAATGGACTAGTCAGCAGAGCACCGATGCTTCCCCACTTCCCTGGAACAGTTGTCTCACTGACACAGCAGCTGTTGTCAGAATGAACAAAGTGTGCTAAATGTGGAGAGATATAAAATAGATTTAGCTCCCTTGTATATATATATATGTTGGTGAAAGCTGGCCACAAAAAATTAACAATGACAAGGAGCACTGTTATATTCACAATTTCAAACAAGTTGACATAATACGTGGTACTGAGGAAGGCAAGTCTGAGGACGTGGGTTTTGAGCCTTTTTGAATGATGTCAATGGGGGGCATTTTTGGTGTGGTTTAGTAATGAGATCCACAGAGAGATGGCGAGGCTGAGACTGCCCTGTCACTCCAGGTTCAGCGCTTGGTCCTGGGGATTTGCAGGAAGTTGACCTCAGTCAAACAGAGGTACCTGTAGGGTGTTTGCTTGTGGATTCAGTTGGAAAGTTAGAGGCAGCCAGGTTGTTGAGGGCCTTGTAGGTGGTGTGTAGAATATTGAAGTTTATCCTGTGGTTCACTGGGAGCCAGTTGAGGTCATGGAAGACTAGGTGGATGTGGTCACTTGAGCGGCTAGTTGTAAGTAGAGTGAGTACAGAGTTCTGTATCTGCTGGAGTTGTTTGTGGTACCATAGAGGATACTGCTGCAGTAGTCAAGTCTGGATGTTACAAGTGCATGGTTGGGTGTTTCTGCAGCAGTAGGTGACAGTGAGGGTCGGAGGCAGGCAGTGTTGCAGAGGTGGAAGAAGGCTGTATTGGTGATGTGGTTGGCATGGGGCAGGAGCAAAAGGGTGGGATTAAGAATGACTCCAGGGTTGTGGATTTAAGTGGAGGGGTGACTATGGAGCCATCAAGATTGAGTGAGAAATCCTGGGTAGGGCAGGTAAGGGGATCAGGGCCAAGATTTCTGACTCATTGCAGTTGAGTTTAAGAAAGTTTCTTTGCAGGTGGTGAGAGTGGAGTGAGCGGCAGCAGTGATGGTCTGGGAGGAGAGGTCGGGTTAGGTATCTTTGGCACAACAGCGAAACTTGAGGTTATGGTGGCGGAGGATCCGTCCAAGTTGTAGCATGTAAAGGATTAAAACGAAGGGGACCAAGCATCAAACGCTGGGAGACATCATGGGTGACAGGAACTATGGTTAATTTGCAGTTGTGGATTGAGATGAATTGATGCCTGTCAGAGAGGTAGGCTTTGAACCAGGAGAGAGCTGTGCCAGTAATACCAAGGGTGGATGTGAGGCATATGATGAGTGTGTCAAAGGCAGCGCTGCTGAAGTCAAAAAGGATGAGGATAACCATAGGTATTTTGTGACTGTGACCAGAGCAATCTCAGTGCTATGTTTTGACTGATGAAGGCTCAACAGTCTATGAATAGCAGGTGTGGCAAACACATAATGTCAAAGACTTAATGTAGAGGCAGGAAAATCAACTGAACTGAAAAAATGGTAGAAAAAGAGCCGATCTGGTTAATGTCCCTCTGTTTGTTAGATAACAATGAAAAAGACAGAACCAAATGTAAAGTGGACAAATGGACAAGGAAGGGACTGCACATCTCACCCTAACTCCCAACCCATAGCTAAAGCTGACTGACCACCTTTTTTTCAGGCATGGGTGGCAAACTTTGAACGTCCACGTATGAACGCCAACTCCCTGCTGGCCAGCCCCACAGGCCTCAGCCCCTACCTGCGCTTTGGATGTCTCTCCTGTCGGCTCTTCTACTTCAAGCTTACTGATCTCTACAGGAAGGTACGAATGACATTACAAACATTAACCCTCTTTAAGTTTTATCATGTTTTGTTTTCACTCAGATTGGTTTCATGTTGATGCTATGTTGGTGCTATCCCCTATCAGGTCAAGAAGCACAGCAGCCCACCACTGTCCCTGTATGGCCAGCTGTTGTGGAGGGAGTTCTTCTACACGACTGCCACCAACAACCCTTGCTTTGACAAGATGGATGGAAACCCTGTCTGCGTCCAGATCCCCTGGGACCGAAACCCAGAGGCACTGGCCAAGTGGGCGGAGGGACGGACAGGCTTTCCCTGGATAGATGCCATCATGACCCAGCTGAGGCAAGAGGGGTGGATCCATCATTTGGCGAGGCACGCTGTGGCCTGCTTCCTCACCAGGGGAGACCTCTGGGTCAGCTGGGAGGAAGGCATGAAGGTAAGAGCAGACAAAAGTGATCAAGTTTCCAAGAACAAAAGGTGCACACTTTTCATCAATCACCACAGTCATTGATAAAAGAATAAAACAATCACTACCATGCTTTATTTTAACTGTCCATGTCTTGTTCAGGTGTTTGAAGAGTTGCTTATAGACGCAGACTGGAGTGTAAATGCTGGCAGCTGGATGTGGCTCTCCTGCAGTTCCTTTTTCCAGCAGTTTTTCCACTGCTACTGCCCCGTGGGATTTGGACGACGCACAGACCCCAATGGGGACTACATAAGGTCAGTCAGTACTTTCATCTCCACACATGAATATGAAAGCACCCTTCAGAAGCTGACGTTGTTGTGGGTATTTGTTCCGCTCTGCAGTCATTTCAGATGGGAAAAAAAAATTGTTTGATTAGCTTGTGGTCTTTTGTAGCCTCGGTTGGGGGAGGTTGACTCCTCATGGTTGTCATGATTCAGTCATGTGTAGTTACTAAGTTACTGTTTAAATAGCGATACAAATTGTGTGACCTAATTTTCAGTGCCAATATCACTGAAAAAAAAGAATAAAAGGATGAGCTTTCACAGTCAGTATTTGTCAGTAACAGTATTATTGGTGGCTAATCATTAATTTATTTACTGTGGCACATCTGTAACATCTCATCTTTAACTTATATCATGTCCCACCATCTTTTGTCCTCCATCTGTCTTCATTCTTTCCTTTTCTCACAGGCGTTATTTGCCCATACTGAGAGGCTTTCCAGCCAAATACATCTATGATCCTTGGAATGCCCCAGAGGAGGTGCAGAAGGCAGCCAAGTGCATCATAGGAGTCCACTACCCCAGGCCCATGGTGAACCATGCCGAGGCCAGCCGCATCAACATCGAGCGGATGAAGCAAATCTACCAGCAGCTTTCCTGCTACAGAGGACTGGGTAGGGACGTGACCCAGATACTGATCATCTCAAACTCTCACACTCTCGTGCCATCAGTTTAATGTTATTTTAAATATCTGGAATGCTACCCAAATTTACACAGATATATTTTTCAAAGAAGATGTCTTTTTATGAGAGGTAGATTTTTAAGGGCCGATATACTAACGATAGTTTGAAGGAGGAAAATACAGATAGCCGATTAAAACAGCCTTGCAGTAAAATCAGCTGTTTCTTGGGACAAAATCACGTTCTGTATCGCCAGAAAAATGCGAGCATAATTGCTTTCTGAGAATATTATATCTGATGTACGGTGAAAAATGAGATTGAAAGTTTGTTGTGCAGTTATTGTAATAATGAGTTAATAGTCATTTAGATTATCAGAAATTAATTTCAAACACATTGCTAGTGGCTTGCTACTTAATTCTAGCGAAATTACGCCGACCAATTACACTGATGATCTACATTTTATTCCTCCACACTGGCGGAAGTCGTGAGGCATTATGTTTACGGGTTGATAATCCGTCAGCTTGTCTGTCCCCAATACTTGAATGCAATATCTCAAGAAAGCTTTGAGGACATTTCTTCAAATATGGCACAAACATTCGCTGTGACTTGAGGATCAACTGGTTAGATTTTGGTGGATAATGGTCACTGTGACCTCACAAGACATGTTTTGTCCATAACTCAAGAATTCATGCTAAGTATGATGAAATTTTACACAAATTTCAAACAGGATTAAATAACTAAGTGATCTCATTTTACATCCAAAAGGTCAAAGGTCAACTTCACTGTGACAATGTTTTCTGGCCATTATTCGTCATAACTCAGGAGCAGAAGGGAAGATAGATATTTAGTCAGAGAGTGAACTGGTGACACTAATCTTGGGTGTCTACCTTGAAACTGCGGGGTTGAAGATTTGTGTGATGCATCCACGTTTCAACATAAAGTACACTTAATACCTTTTTTAATAAATTCCTTCTAAGTCTTCACTCCATATATGAGTCTGGTCAGACATGGATCTAAACTGCAACTTGACTGGTTGACGTAGGCGTACAACCCTGCAGGGGTAATTCTTGTGTCTGTTTATAGTGTTTCCAGTCTTTCCAGGATTTTCTATGAAGCCTGTGTTATGAGACCCAACTCCATACACTACGATGATGGACAGTAAATTTAAAAGCTAACATGCAGTTTGCTTCAGGAAATCGTTTTGCCTGATGAATGCACATTACACAACAGGGCTATTCAATCACAAATTCAACTGGGCCGGATTTTAAAAGCCGGGAAAAGTAGATGGGCCAGGCAGTTTTTAAGCAGCCTTTATTAGCTTGTGGTAATGATTAATTTTAAACAAATGCAAATGAATGTTGTAACAAATAGCAATGTTTATTGTTTCACTTTTTATTGGTCACATAACTGACCTGGTCACATCAGAAAGTGCAGAAACCAAATTAAAAAGAGCATCAATGCTATTAATTCACAGAACAATAACAGTAACCAATAACACACTCTGTCTGTCTCTACCAGTATCTCCCTCCCTCCCTCCCTCCCTCTGTCTCCCAAACAAACACACACTCCTCACCTCATAATGTTTTCCACAGAGATCAAGTTAGTGTTTAGGAAAAACATAGCACAGTTTATTTTAGCAATCGGCCGCAGCCTAGGTGTTTTAAAAAGCTACTAAGCGTGGTTCGAACTGTGTCACATGAGCGAACGTTAATTTGTGAAAGATATGATTGGAGGTGTTAATATACCGATGCATACGTCCTTCCCGACCACACGTGTAAATTAACAGAGATGAGAAGGCAGTGAGATGACTCATTTGTGAGCTACCTTCAGACACTATATGTAGTTTACATATTTCTCATATCAGTATATCAGATTTAAGTGCGCCGGGCCTCTTGGAGATTGCCTCTGTGCCAGATGTGACCCACAAGCCGGCAATTGAATAGGTCTGTTACACAATATTGCATTAGAATACACAACAAGGTAAATGCTCCTGTTGGGTGATTGATAAGAGGCAGGTGGCAGATAAAACCCTGGTAACGGCTCTGCTGTTTTGCTGCTATACAAGCCCCAGAACACCTGAGACATGCACAAACGGTTTTATAAGTTCGGAAATAAAGAGCCAGTGTGTCTTTATCATTTTCACAAACAATGCTTTTGTCCTCTTGCAGGCCTGCTAGCAACAGTACCTGCCAATCCCAACAATGGTGCAAATGGCAGTACAGTCGAAGGAGTCACCACAGGGACCAGTCAAGGTCCAGCAGTGTCCTCTGAAGGCTTCTCCACATACGAGGGACCGTCTCGAACAGGTACGTCCGTTAGATGGTTAACATTGTCATTGGTTAAAATACAGTTTTTTGTATGTTAATACATGAGTACATTTGAAATTGTGCAATGCAGGCAAGATACTAACATTATCTATTCAAAGTCAGCACAGTCATGGCTAAAATTATTACCCATGAGACTTGGGTCAGCTGGCTGCATGACATCAAATGTTGCTGCCCCTGGCCTGCAGGATTGTTCTGAGAATTGGTAACTGAATGCCAGGCTTTATCACAGAGTATAACCAAACTACTGTTGTTCTCCCAAAAACAAGCCAGAAATATTGAATAGCAATAAAACGCCCTGAGTCAAGTTTCTACACTGCAAAAGGAAGTAATAGCTTCATAGATGTACTCACTTCACTGTTGAATTTGATGATGGTGGTGGGTTTTATATCCAACTCACAAAGCAAAATGTAAGCAGTGGATGAAATAATCTTGTATATTTTGTGTATCATGTTTTAATGCAGAAAGAGCACAGTCCACACAGAAGCGGCGCCGTGAAGAGGCTTCACCCAAAGGCAGCTCTAAATCCTGGAAGCAGAGCAAATAGAGTGCAAAAGGCAGAAAACAAAGGGTCCCTCAGTTGGCCGGGATCATCCGGTCAGCATCCTGTCCTGCCGTGCCCTCAGCTGACACACAGTACTAACTGTAACTAACAACCATAGAGGAGGCACAATGGATCCAGCTGACACTATTGACTATGTTTAAAGGTCTCCCTTCAGTACAAGATATCTGTAACATGTCTTGGTCTCCTGAGAAGACACATCACACGTCTCAGGAACCAAGGAATGAAATCAGAGAAAATGCTCACATTGAAAAGAAAGTATCCCATAACAGCAGGGTGTAAAAGGAAAAACAAGTGATCTATAAGGTCCTTACATCAGGGTGTGTGAGGCCACCTATTGTCTTCCACTAAAATATGTTACTGTACAACTTATGAACCACCAATTGTTATCATGAACGCCTCAACGCCTCCCAGGACTTTATCTGAATGAAACTGTGTAATTCAGCTGATTATTAAATTATTATTAAAAACATCAGTTCTTATAGATGGTGAACTTAAAATTTAGCAAATACCTGACTCCTTCTGCCTCTACACTGCTTACCCAAAAACGTCAAAATCTGAAATCTGACTCCCATGTGATTGATGGTAAACTGTAACAGTCTGGAGCCTGTGGATGACTTGCTTTGTACAGTGGACACTGACATAAGGTGACCTGAATAACACACAGCCGTATCTTTTCTTACAAAAAAAGCCCCCAAATATTTCATATTAAGAATATGAAGTCACTCTGTCATGATTGTAAATAATGTGAGAATGTTTTTTTTTTGTTTTTTTTTCTCAAAGATTTAGGACCCTAAGGTCTCATGTACAGTAGTAATGGATATTAAAAGCAAATCTATAATTTGATAATAAAGCAGGCCTTACAAAGGCCATCATATATTTTGTAAATACCTATTGTTTTTATTTCCAACTTTTGTATATTTGCTCCTGGTGGTTTCACAACTCCTTTTGTAAATAACGTGTAACCAAAACTGAAAAAGTTCTACTGTGAATGCATGTGCTTTTGTCTCCCATGTGATGGTAAATCTATTATTTTTGTATAAAAATGATCAAATTATGGCTGTATGGACATGGCAATAAATGACAGAAATATTGCTGTATACTTCTGGTTTGTCTTTTTCATTTGATTTCACATCTTTACTAGAAGAATGAAGGTATGGGTATGGCATTTTAAAGTCTAAAAGATAGAGGTATATTTGAGTGCTGTGCTTTGGACCAGAATTCTGTTTGACCAGTGTTAAAAAGCCGAATATCAGCCACTGTGATTGAAAGCTGTTAAACAATAAAACATGAGAGAGTCCAGGAGGTGGTGCTACACTTTATTGGCACTGTATGTGGGAACTTTGAGCCAATTCATTTGAGATAGTGTGTTTCATATCACATCATCTTCCATAGGGTTTGACCTTTTATCCCATTTTCCTAAAAGGTGCATATATCCCCACCATTTTTTTTAAAATATGGTAAGAAATGTTCTGCATTAACCTCTTTTAAATAAGACCTTAATCTGTTTTATATCTGTCTTATATAACCTTCTTTTCTATCACCTGTTGATAGAAGTTCAGGTTATTCCAGGACTGCTTGCACGAACCTTTTCATACTTGGAGATAAAATGTATGACTAAATGAGATTTTCTTGAGGTAACGAGTGACCGTGCAGTCATGTTGCTGTCTGATCACACAGTGTTGTTGTGACAGCCTCGGGGTGGAGAGAAGCTTTGTGTTGTTGGAGGCTTAAAATCACACACACAGAGGAAGCTCCACTGTGTCCAATAGCAGCTGCCGGTCGGTGGGCGGTGATATAGCTGAGTTCAACCCTCAATAAATGGATCCCGCACACACTCTCAGTCGGTGTAGCAGATCACGATCGTGTGCTTGTGCCTGCTTGACTACATGTTAGAGATGGAAATTGGAGACAATGTGCAGAAGAAGCCTCTCTGCCTCATCGCAGCTGTGTGCAACAACAGAGGCATCGGGAAGGACGGGAAAATGCCCTGGGATTTACCGTAAGAGTGAAACCATTTGTGATGACGTCTCTGCTTGATTCAGTTTGAAAATGCAAATCATGTATTTGACTGCTGTGTCACTAACTGCGTTTAAACAGTCTACAATACAAATATCTTGATGGTTATATCAATGTGTTCTGTATCCACATGTGTGCAACAGGACAGATCAACAGTGATTGTTTATGGCACTGTACGGCTGTTCGGTTATGTACCACTCTGTGCAAACATCTGGGTAAAGTTATGAGGATTTTTATTAACCAGCAGTGTTGGGAAGTAAAGCAATATGTAACCAAGTACATGGAACGAGATACATTTTCATTTAATTTGTTTGACTCACGACCATATCACATGTTATGGAGTACAAACATTACATACAATAACAAAACAATGGCACATGGCCTGGCTAAGGTACAACCAATGTTACTTAAAGGGATAGTGCACCCAAAAATGAAAATTCAGCCATTATCTACTCACCCATATGCCGAGGGAGGCTCAGGTGAAGTTTTAGAGTCCTCACAACAATTGTGGAGATCCCAGGGGAGAGGGGGTAGCAACACAACTCCACCTAATGCAGGCTGACTACGCCCCAGATTCAAACGTCCAAAAACACATAATTGAAACCACAAAACATCTCCATACTGCTCTTCTGTAGTGATCCAAGTGTCCTGAAGCCTCGACATAAAAAGTTGTTTGGAAAAACAACTTTCTATGTCGAGGCTTCAGGATCTCTGCAAGGAATGTGAGGACTCTAAAACTTGAGCACCTGAGCCTCCCTCGGCATATGGGTGAGTAGATAATGGCTGAATTTTCATTTTTGGGTGCACTATCCCTTTAAACAAAAAAAGCATCTAGTTTACAAATTACTTTTGGCTTGTCTGATTGTAATAACAAAATTAATTTAAACATAGATGGATGGTTAAAATAATGCTTTGGCAAATACCTTTCTCTATTGTGAACACTCTCAAAGCCAGAAACCACAGAAGTTAGTTTCAAACTTGTGATGTCATCAGGTGTTTGTGTTCTTATTTTTACTAAAATGACCTTTATTCTGTTGTTGTTTTCTCAGTCGTTAAACAGACAATTTACTCATAAACTCAGAACATTCCCCTGGGTGCTCTCAGTGTCATCTATGACAGTGATTCCCAACTGGTCCAGGCAGCCATGGGGTCCAGATTTCTCTGTAGTCATAAGTTTAAGGTCCACACAATTCAAAACATTCAGCATTTAACCATGTCGTCAAGCTAGTTTGCCGTCTCCGTCAAATGGCTGTCCATTATTCCCTCACTCTACAACAGGAAACAGCACTTCAAAATAAAAAGTCTTTGCCAGAAATCCTCTCTAACCACTTCATCCTCTTGAAGGTCGCGGGGGGGCTGGAGCCTATCCCAGCTGACATCCGGGCGAGAGGCAGGGTACACCCTGGACAAGTCGCCAGACTATCGCAGGGCTGACAGATAGAGACAGACAACCATTCACGCTCACATTCACACCTACGGACAATTTAGAGTCATCAATTAACCTGCATGTCTTTGGACTGTGGGAGGAAGCTGGAGTACCCAGAGACAACCCACGCTGACACAGGGAGAACATGCAAACTCCACACAGAAGGGCTCCCACGCCCAGGATAGAACCAGCAACCCTCTTGCTGTGAGGCAACAGTGCTAACCACCAGACAACCGTGCCGCCCTGCCAGAAACCCACTGTACTTTAAAACAAAGTGTGTTTGTTACAAACCTGACATGTTTGTGAGTCACTTGTGGTCCATTCAGAATGGCCCCGCAACCCACTTTTGGACCAGGACCCACCAGTTGATCTATAACATCTTTCCCGGTTTACTGTCTGTGGACCAGCGCCAGACTTTATACCTCGTGACATCACAAACTTGAGTTGTGGTGCTGTAATTTTTGGATTTGGGAGACATGATTCCTAATATTTTAGGTCTGTCTTAGACCATGGGATTCATGTATGAATATTGAAAATGGGCGTAGTTCCCCTGTAATACCAAATTTAAAACATTTGTTAAAACCATCCTGCATTTTCAACAGAGTAAGTGGTAAATTGTAGCCTATTAGATTACAGAAGTAGCCTCCCCAGTATTGTTTATCAGCTCGTCCAGAAATGTAACACCAGAAGAGTTTAAAGTAATGTATGAAAAATGTTGACTTTGTCAGATCAAAAGCCAAAAACAAACCAAAAAATGACATGATACAGCAAAACCAAGTAAAACAGCTCTAAACAGATTAAAAACCTTTAACAAGGAAATTACTGGTATTTCTAACTGACTAAATGATCATTTTAATGTCATTAGTTTCCTTGATTATGCAGATTGGCGCTAGTTGCAAAGTTGCAGGTACCAACAGTATATGCTGAAGATGTGAGTGATGCTAAGTTGTATCAGAGTAAGCAGCAGCACCAGTACTGCTATAGTAAACAGTAGTTGTAAAAGTGGTGCCTCACATGGAGCCTGTAGAATACAGTTAAATAAAGACATGTAGATCTTTTATTCACCAGGTCATTCTTTGCTCCATGTGGAAACTATAATCAGCAGTGCAAAGGGTTAATGAGCTCAGTAACAGCTGACTAATAATGTTGAAACTGTGACTCTTGCAGGTCTGAATTCCAGTACTTCCTGAACCACATCACAAGGGTGTCAAGACCAGGTATTTCTTAACCTCATTATTACATCTAATTATAGCCACCTCATATAGGGCTGAGTTTTAAATGCTGGAGCCAAAAGCACACTTGTATTTTGGTGTTATACCAAAATCTTATATCCTTACTGACTTATTTTTTATCACAGAGGCATAAAGAGGCACTCTAATTTGGTTGTTTTATCCTGTAAGGGTTTTTTCATTGCAAATGTATTATTGCAAATAGGGTTTGTAAAGCAGGTTGAACAACTGTATGAGGATTTTGTCCACATCCACTCATACTTGATGATTTTCCTCCTTTGGTGTGGGTACAATCTTTTCTGTGCTCTAAACTTTCACTATTTTGAACCCCAGTCCAGTGCTATGTATCATGAACATACTTGAGAGCTGCAGCAGCTAAGATCTGTAGTTGAGTGTCATTTATTTTATTCTGTCTATTTCAGGAAATATGAACATGATGGTCTGGGGCAAACGGTGCTGGTTCTGCCACCCACAATCTACTCTCCCACTAGCCAATGCTCTGCATGCGGTGCTGAGTACAACACTGGAGTGAGTGCTCTCTGACACAGACACCTGCTTCAACCAGGGGAGCAAGATATTTGGGGTTATCCAGAAAGCAATTTGAGGTTTCATTGCCATTTATCCTTGTCAATTCTCTGAATATTTATCTTCTTTCAGCACGCCTCCAGATCATGCCCACTTTGTGTGTAAAGACTTAGAGAGTGCGGTCCAACTAGCTGCACAGCCCCCTCTCGCCGGCCTGATTGAGACCATCTGGATTATTGGTGGGGCGCAGGTCTACGAGGTAAACTAGGATGAGCTGGAAAGATATGGCAGAGAGCATGGCTGGATGGACAAGTTTGCAGGGAAATGAGCTGTGGGTCACTATTTAGCTCCTACTCATGCATGTTCACCCAATCCCGTCCCAAGTTGGTCGCATCCCATGATTCCCAGCATTCCCAGCTCCACCCAACCTTCAACAAGTCTACTCAGTCAGAATAATTGAATGCTTTTTTCATTGGTGTTCATGGCCTTCATGTGACCTTGTAATATGCACAAACTATTAACAGCATGCAAGCTAATGACAGAGCGACAGCCTGTAGATCAGTGTTGATTTAACAGTCTAATTGATCCAACACCAGTAGGGTTGTTAAACAAGAAACTATTAAAATTGTTGGTGACATGTAGAGCCACAAATATGCAAAGTTGTCTTGTGCAGCTGAGAGTCCTTCCCTCTTATGTCAGTATGTTTTCTGACACAATGAAAGCTCATTTCTGTCGCACTTTGTGCCTTATTACACATGGAAAAACCAGGTTGTTAATACTGTTAATGTGACCAGCTTCTTGTTTTTGTTTACCAGGCTGCACTGAAGCACCCATGGTGTGAACTGGTTTACCTGACAGAGGTCATGGCAGACTTTGACTGTGATGTTTTCTTCCCTGAGTTTGACAAAGAACTCTTTAAAGAACAAGAAGAAGGGTACGTATTCATTTCATCCTCACACTAGCATGGTGCAGGTTGCCCTGGTGTTGAAAGGTTAATGGTTAAACAGTATATAGTGGCTTGGCCGAACCAAATAACACACAAGGGGTAACCAAAATGGGCACCAACTACAACTAAACACAAAACAAAACTAACAAAACCCAAATCCCTCCCCATGACATGACAACACATGGTTTGGTCCAATGAGTTGGCTCCAGGATTTAAGAGTCCTCAGCCTTTTTGCTCCAACAGGAAGGGACCTCCCCAAGCAACTACAGTAACTCAAAGACAAGAAACAAAAGATTAATATCAAACAACTTGTGTACACTTAAACAATGTGTGGTTAAAGGCAAATAAGCAAATTCTAATTCAGTCCAACTGTGTGATGTGAATTGTTCAGGTATGGTTGACCGTAAATGATAGTTGTTTGTGTGGATAAACTAATGAGATCAAAGTGTGGCTTGGGAAAACATCACCATGTGTGGCTGTGACCATCACAGTCATATAATACTAACTGTTTTTCCTCTGCGACAGTGACAGCCATGGTTGTAGACATTATGTTTTCAGGTTGTCTGTACATCCGTTTGTCTGCGCGCTCGGCCCATTCTCATGAACGTGATATCTCAAGAACTCCCTCAGGGAAGTTCTTTAAATTTGGCACAAACGTCCACTTAGACTTCGCTATGAACTGATTCCATTTTGGTGGTCAAAGGTCACTGTGACCTCATGTCTGTCCCACACTCGTGAAAGTGACATCTCAAGAAGGCCTTGATAGAATTTCTTTAAACGTCCACATGGACTCAATGATGAACTGATGAGATTTTGGTGATCAAAGGCCACTATGACCTCACAAAGCATGTTTTTGGCCATAATTTACCCTAATTATGACCAGATCTCACACAAATGTCTAATAGATAAAATGATGAAGTGATGACAGTTTATATTTAAGGCCAACTTCACTATAACATCGTAATGTTCAGCAGTAACACTTTGAGGAACAGAAGGGGAGACATCAGGGGCCGTATTCACAAACATTCTCGTCAAATTCTCAGAGAGCTCCTAACTTAGCCTAAATTTTTTAGTGAGGAATCTGAGCTTAGGAGTGATTTAGGAAAGTTCTCAGCGACTCTGAGCAAGGAAGAGACAAAAACTTTTACCTTAGTGAGGGGGTGTGGTTGACCCTGTCTCTAGGTATGATGCATTCTTTTAACAGATGTGATTGGTTGTCACAGACACACCCTTTTTGAGCTAGCAAGGTGCAGGCACTCAGTGGAAATGAAATGAACTGCTGACTGTGAAAGTGTTGTCATTGTTAGTGTTATCACTCTGCTGATGGAAGGATTAGACAGAACAAAGTCATCACTGCTGCACTGTTGCATTTTTTCAGTTTTTGAAATATCTTAGTATTGTGATCATTTTACTTCTGGCCTTATAGCGTTATTGTGTTGACTGGGAAATGTGTGCATATCCCTAATGAGATTGATCACACATATTATCCCTGCATGATCTAATCTGTAGCATTTCATTTACTCACTGTCATCCAGCATTTGGAGAACATTTCTGCGACCTCCTTGTGTTTCCACCAATTTCTCCTCTGATTAAGAAACTCTTAAGCCTATTTAAAGTCCTCCTCCCTGCTCCCAACAGTTTTTCACCTTAGGAGCTCTCTTAAGGTCTAAGATGCTTTGTGAATAACTTTTATCTTTACAAGAACCTAGTCTTAATTTTAAGGGCTAGAAGAAATTCTAAGAAAACATCACAATTCTAAGAATTTGCTTAGAATTTCGTCACTAGCAACTCTTTGTACTAGGATGCTTTGCCATATGTTTGTACGTATGTTTTCTCCCACAGTAAAAGCATGTTTATGTATGAATATTGTTCATCATCCATTTAATTATCATATTTGACAGTTTTATATGAACTGACAAAACTGTTTTCCTTTTGTTTCCAACTAGATTTCCAAATGTACCGAGTGGAATTCAAGAGGAGAACGGCATCAAGTACAAATTCCATGTATACAAAAGAGACACCAGTGATGCGGTGTAGACAGCTATAGTGAAAATCAATAGATTGTCAGAGAACACTGAAAATCTCTCATTCCTTTAAAACCCTATCAAGATTTATTGCAGAGTCAACTCCTGGATAGACTGTAGAGACATGCTGCCAAAGCCCAAACCCACAGTGTGTCATTATAGTTTTTAAAATTTAAACAAAGCCAAAGTCTATCTAACACTCTTTGTAATACACTTATTGAACATTCCAGTGTTAACATGACTTTTATACTGTTTGTTGTCCATGAAAAACTGAAACACAGATACTTCAACAGCGGCCTAGTTTGTCCACCCAAGTCTTTATGTGTATCTACCCTTCCTCCATCGCTGCTGCCTGGACGGATATTATGATTCGTTCTAGTATTAAAAAAATTCCCAGCCACCCTCTGCTGTCACCTTGTCACTTGTCAGCGTTCCCATCTCGTCCTCCTCCTCAGTGATATTGCAGCTGCACAGAGAATATGCTTGTCAGTGAGTCAGTCAGCAGCCTACGTCAATGACAGCCCATGTTCTGGGTAGCACAGCAGATCTGGGTCTCTCTAAGCCAACATGACAGATGCCAGTTCAGAAAGCGACGAGTGACTTGAGTGACTTGTCCCGCTGGTCCGCTTCGATTCTATAATGACTGTCTGGTTATTTGGAAAGATATGGAGAAATTCACAGCTTGTGATTTATTGTGCTGGAAAGACATTTTTATCGAGGAAGGTTTTCACTGTGCAGTCTTCTGTAAATCTAGAAGGGTTTTCATGAAATGAATCAATGTGAAATCATTAATGGAGAAACAACTGGCATTTTGTGGCTTTGTATTTCATTTTGAATAAGAATGAGCCTCATTCATCTGGTTGTATGCGATCCTTTTTGCCACTAGATGGAGGCACAGCATTGAGACAGCAGTCAGAAAGCCCACCTTTATGCTGCTTGTAACTGATTAACAACATATCCCAGATTCTACCAAGAGTTTTGATTACACACAATGCTTCAACAATCCCAGAAAGCTTACAGTTTAGTGGGTACTGTAGTGACATAATAGTAATGTTATGATAATAATGGTCACAGCAACTTAACTACAAAATAAATCAAAGTTTTTTACAATAGTAACAGTAAACAAGGACAGAGATATGTAAGAAGAAACATGCACATTAAGGTCAGGGATTTTGAATTCTCAATAATAAAATGTACTTTTAAACATATTTGTCAAAGCACTTGGTGATGTGTTGGTTTTAAATGTGCTCTACAGACTAAAGATCAGAACAACAAAACTAACAACAACCAATAACCTATGACACATTTATGGAGTGATTTAAGACCAGTCCGTGGGATTAAGTGGGATCAAGCTGTGAAGTTGCAGATTGCAACCAACTGAATACCCCTCACTTTCCAAGAGTGCAGAGAAGTGTTTGGTCTGTCCTTTCAGACCTACTGCAGAAATGTGGTGGTGGAACATGGTGGGCCAGTGGCCACTGTTAACAGGACTCCTTGAACTGCAGACAAGGTCCAATATGACTCCTTCTTTTTTATGGATTCTCAATCCACAGAGAGGTGACACAGTGGTGTAGTGGTTAGCACTGTCTCCTCACAGCAAGAGGGCTCCTGGTTCGATTCTGTTTGCATGTTCTCCCCATCAGTGTGGGTTTTCTCCGGGTACTCCGGCTTCCTCCCACAGTCCAAAGACATGCAGGTTAAATGGTAGGTGTGAATGTAAGTGTGAATAGTTGTCTGTGTCTATGTGTCAGCCCTGCAATAGTCTAGTGACCTGTCCAGGGTGTACCCCGCTTCTCGCCCAATGTCAGCTGGGATAGGCCCCAGTCCCCCAAGAGGATAAGTGATTACGAAAATGGATGGATCCATGGAGATTTTATACTTGCAAAACTTTCCTCAAGGCAAGAAAAGCGATTTTAAAGTCTGTGGCATCATCACAATGTAAAGTGTACTAGCAGAGTGGGAACTCACAGCTGGTCCAGTGGATCAAACACTACTACACATGTTCAGTAGGCCGCATACCACAGGAGTAAATACGGAAGCTAGAAACTTTGTTGGCATATGAACCAAGCGATCAATTCTCACTGGACTGAAAAGGCACCATCCTGGGGTCCAGTGTCCAGATCTGATAATATATATGAAGACGATCTGCTCCTGATGTAGATATGAAAGGCTTATTCTAAACTAACAAAAACATAATAACATAATCATGAATGTCATATTGTATTTCTGCCAGTGAATCCCCCAAAATCTCTCACACTGCCCCTTTCAAGACATTTCATTGTCTGTTATCTTCATGGTCTATCTATGGGTAGATCTGTTAGTAGCAGAGATGGGGACTTGAATCATTGTGACTTGGACTCGAGTCGACTCGAGTCGCTGTTTTGATGACTTGTGACTTGACTTGACAAAAAATAAAAGACTTGAGACTTGACTCTGACTTGGAAGTTAAAGACTCGGGACTTGATTTGACTTGAGACACGATGACTTGAATGACTTGAGTGTTATTCACATCATGTTTTCGGTTAGAATATAAAATTAATAAATTAATTTAAAAAATAATGTCAATTACCCGGTAGGAGCGCAGGCTGAGAATGGCGTTGTCATGATTGGATCACTACCCTGTCAATCAGTCATGCCCTCTCTACGTACCTTATGTGTTTATTGGAGAAATAGGCCCTCTTATATCAGATAGGCATCAACATGTCAGCGGGAGGGGTACCGAGAGTCATTGTCTTCGGCTTTCGGAATTACCATTATTACGGCAAAAGACAAACAGCACAGTGCAAGACATGCAGCATAAACATCTTGGACAGCCAGGCGACAACTTCAAACTTTGTTTGTCATTTGAAGAGCCATTCTGCCCAGTAAGTGCTTGTCAATTAGCTAATATTATCTGGTTAGTCGGTAGTTAGCTAACGTTAGCTTGATACGATCGGTCAGTTTGGTGGAACTTGTTTTTTAATTTATTTGCTAACATTAACCCCAGAAAACGTGAGCGAACATTCCGACCGGTTCATCACAAGACCGGCTGTACATTTTATGAACGAGCAACACAGGGTTAAATGAGATAAATGGGTGATTTTGGCTGCTGCCTTGGTTAGTGTGTGTGTGTGCGCACACACATGGGGTCATCCCTGCAAAGTAAACATTGCAGCAATGAAGTCAATGTTTACTGACAGTTACTTATATCTTGTCTTTTCACTTTATTAAGATCAGATTCTGCAGGTAAAATTACAATAATAAGGTGACTTGACTTGGACTTGACTTGACCTATTACAGGACTTGAGTTGACTTGACTTGCCCAAGAAAAAATGACTTGGGACTTACTTGAGACTTGCACATGTGTGACTTGGTCCCATCTCTGCTTAGTAGTTCAAGTGAAAACACCTTTGTCTGACCTCAGCGTCTCACGTTTCTTGAGTTTTCTGGGAGTTTCCTGTTGCCACTCTCTTTGCCCTCAGATCAGATAGACGCCAATCTGCCTGCATTCTTCTCAGAAACAGCACCAGTTTCACCTTTATCAGTGAGAATCTGAACACATGATAAAGACACGGCACTGATAAGTGTTCAAGAAACATTACCACCCACTGTGACAATGACAAAAGTCATTCTGAGTCATGTCTGTCACCTCATGTGCCTTCTCCACTCAGTTTAAATAGGGTTTTCCATCCTTGCCACCACATAACATACAGCACATGGCACAGCCATCCTTATTATTACATGGAGTTTGGAGACCTCATGTGGCTCCCAGCATAGTGCAGCCCATGTCTTAGTTGAGACTTGGGCAGAGGGCTGTGTGGCTGGAGTGTGTGTGAAGGATTTTCATTTAGCATGTATGTGTTTTTCAAACCCATAGGACTGAAACACTCACAGTACACACAGACATTAAAGGAATACTTCACCCACAAAAGGATCATTTGTATATCAATTACTCACCCTGTGTTACCTTGAATTTGTGAAGAAAAGTTTGTTTTTCTCACATGCCTCAATGGTGAACAAAGAATTCAATAGCAGCAAACATTCTTGGTGAACTGAAATAAATGGGGTCCAGGTTTGACATCAGCAAAACGATGTCAAAGTATCCATTTACAAACTGTCACACAGCTCGTGCAATATAATCCGAGTCTCAATTATCCAGTCGTATGGTGAGAACTTCTCAAACACATGTATTTTCAGTAAAACTTCTGTTAAATTTTTTGCTAAGATGAGGAGCACCTGTATTTGAACTGTATTTAATGAAATGCACGGGCAGAGCTTAATAAAGTAAAAGGTCCAGTGCAATGAGGAATAAAACAAAGACACCTTTCTTACAGTAGATATTTTGACTTGTCATAGCAGAAACAACACAAGTGTGACTAACAATTTCAACAATGTTAACAATGCACGTGAGTCCCCAGGTGCGCCATCTCAGTGAACAGCATGTTCAGTTAGAGGACTCTGGAACTGGCTCACCTACTGTAAGAGGAATTGTGTTAACGCCATTAATTCCACCTGTGCTTTTCCCACTTTCAAATTTCCATATACCTGCTATGAAAAATGCTTGTTAGTGCATAACGATGTGACCCTACATCAGAGGACTAACGGCTAAGGTTAGGACTCCACAGGCTGATTTCCAAGGAAGGGGCACCCTGCTGTACACATTTCAACATGTTTTTTCCCCACAATTTTTCACAGGAAATAGTTTGACTTGTCACAGTAGAAAAAGCACAGGTGTAATTAGCAACACTAACGACAGCTCTGTCTATTCTAGTGCAAGTGAGCCAGGATGCACAATACCGTGACCCTGACATGGAAGCAGCTAAATAGAATTCAGCCTTCATAATGTTATTGGTTACACTCCAGCAGATCTAAAAAGGAGCAGTACTCTGAGTATCAAGGACAAACATTGACCACCACCGCTTTAAATGGGCAATGGGATTTTAAACACAGCATGACTGAATAAGTCAGTGATTCAAAAGATGGAGTGACAGATATGATCCCAACAGACTGCACCCCACCACGAGTGAAATTACCGGCGGTGACAGATGAGCCTATGTTTCAAAGTTATGAATCTCAGATGCAACGTTCAATATAGAAAGTTATTTACCTTTTGTGCATTGAACGTCCATCAATATGACATTTATTTTCCTCCCTCAGCTTGTAGGGTATATTTGCGTTATCTCATCAGGGTGCAGGTAGGAGTCTCGTTCTGAGAGACGAGTAATAACGGAAAACTTTCTGGTGTAGGTGCGGAGAGAAAAGTTGAGATGAGATCCAAGTCTGTGATGCAAATCTTAATGTAAGTGAGCAAACAGAGACATAATGATATCAGGGATAAGGGTGTTTTTTAAATATATATCATAGCGCTAGGTTTCCCTTTTTCTTTGAGTATAACAGAATATTTCAGGTGCAAAAACTTTGTCCCACTAGCTGCTTTTGATGAATATACTTCTAAATAAAAATGTAACTCACTCTGACTTGAAATAAGGAATATTTACTGCAGCAGTGGTCGTCCCAGCGCTGGCTTCAGCTGGAAATCATAGCTTTTAATTGCAGATGTCATCTGTTTCTGGTGAGATATGACCCATAAAAGCAATTTGTTAAGCGTGGCTAATATCAACCAGTGTCGTGTTTATAATGAAAAAGGACAATTTATACTCCCTCTTATTAACCTCACTGGCTTGTCTGTGTAACTCAAAAGCACGACTCAGCAACAGAGGACAACAGGACAGTGGGTAAGAAATAGAGGTGACTTGCATTCACACACCTGAGGCCTTGTCTCATCTGCCTCGCCTTGATGCACCCTGATGAACTCCTTGTATTTATTGCTCAGCACCACTGAAAGACACAACCTTGCAACATGATGAATTTAAGAA